AATTTTGCGTACGTACTTTGTGCACGCCGCCTTATCCAGAAATAAACCATAGAATTACATGCGTTTAGAATCTAAACTTTAGATACAGAATTTGGGCAAATTACTAATTATAGATTTATAACTTTTATGTTATTTATATTGAAAATTGAAATATCAATGTACCATGTTATATTCTTTTAAAAGGAGTAATATTTTATAAGCAGAGGTGTTAATTTATATTACATTTATAATTATGGATATAAAATTAAATTTTAATTTTTAATCAATTTAAATATTGATTAAATACAGAACTGTAAATATTCATTATTATAATATGAGCTTTAGACAATCATAGTAACGTTAGTATTTTTGGATATTAAATATTTATTTTAATAAAAACCTATGAATATTGAATGATTAATTGACTTTTGAGTCAAATAATTAATTAAATATAATAAATATAAAAATAGCTAAGGTTACTATGATTGTCTAAAACTCATATGAATAAAAGATTCAAAGACTAGCTTATGTATGAAACTAAATAATACATTGGTTTTCACATTGCGTTAACTCAATCAACTAATGACTAAACTCCTTTGCAAATTGTATATTAAATGTAAAAACCAATGCATTACTTAGTTTCATACATAAGCTAGTTTTTGAATTTTTCATTCATAAACAGTAATTAATTTTATGTTTAAGAAATAAGTTTGCAAATTAAGTCAAGCTTTGTATTTTAGCTAATTTTACTTAAATATTATGCAACACATTGATAAATGTTACAATAACTTATAACTAATTTATTGAAAATACAGTAAATTATGTATATTATGATTTTCATTTTATCATATTTGATAATTCGTATAGCATTTTATCAATTACAAAGAACTAAAATATACATGCTTAATTTTATATCAGGCATAGTGATCTCAGTTTAATTTTAATAAATTATAAGCAGTCTTGTTTTTAAATAATCTGATTATAATTTATAAAAGCCATTTAAAACTTATTATAATAAAAAGTTATTATAAAACTAAATTAAATCAAATTTGTTTTATATATTCCATAATTTATTTTAATGATAGAAATTGCATTCAATTATATATTACATAAATAAAATATATTTATCATTTGTTCAGATTAAAATACATTAATAATATTTTAAATACCTTGTTATGCATAATAACAAAGTACTATGTAGAAATTAGTATTTTTAAAATTGTATTACAAACATAAGAATAATGTGATAAACATTATGAAAATGACTTAATAGTCACCCGGGGGTGGTTTAGGCCAATCGCATCTCAATTCCTCCTGAACCCATACCTCTGTCTTCTCAGCACAAGTCCTCTCATGGATATACCATTCATCACCAATTTTCTCGCACTGATAGTATTTATTGGGGTTACCAGGGTATGGCATATATTTATACCTATTGCACATATAATCTTTGTGACTTGTGGTTGATCCAGCTGACGGCGTGGTTGATGGGGGAGGTGTTGTGGTAGTTGTTGTAGTTGTGGTGGTAGTAGTGGTTGTGGTTACTGGTGGTGGCGGAGGTGTATATTTGCACTCAAGCGACTTGATCTCATCGCCATTCAACATACGGTGCACTTTATTCATGAGAGGGTTCTTACCCTTTCCGCACCTGTTCTTGAAGTCGTCGTTCTCGAGGGCCCACACCATACCACCCGACAGTCCCATCGATTTCAAGAAAGCGATCTATAATTACAATACAATTGACGGTTAGTTTCTGTTTGATTGTCTGTTCAATATATTCAGCTATACTTTGCACGAAATACTGTCCACATCTTCAAACCCAATGAATATCTCATCGTTATAAGCATACGGAGCTCTATAGTATGGGTCCGATAGGTTGTGCCATTTGGTGGGATCTTGTATTTCCAATTGACATAACTTTTGGGGAAAAAATGTAAATATTTTGGATTAAAATTATATTCGATTGCATACCTCATTATATCCCAACACTCCGGCCTCACCACCGATGAAACCCTCGGGTGACATACCCTTTGCGATGTCGTGGAGATTGTGCTTATCTTTACTCATGAGAGTCCAGGCCCTGCCATAGAAGGGCACTCCCATCACCATCTTCTCCTTCTTCATACCCAACGACAAGTAATAATTGACAGTATAGTTGACATTAAAGTATGGGTAATCTCCTTCTGTCTCATCGGGTCGGCTATAGAGTGGGGCGTTGTGTCCGAGAATGTCTTCCCAACCCCCGTGATAGTCGTATGTCATTATATTACCCCAATCTAATAGGTCATTCATTAGGGGTACGTCTCCATAGGCGGCGTCAATCTTTTGTTTTCCGGGTGAGAGGGCAGCCGTCAGGAGATACCCGTGCGGGTCGAAGGCTTCTCTCAATTCCTTCAACAGTTTCAGAAAATTGGGTTTATCTGCGACCTCATCGCCCCCTCTGTTCCCCGGATACTCCCAATCGAGATCCAGTCCATCGAATTGGTGTTCTTCGAGAAAAGCCAACACACTGTCAACGAATCGCTTTCTGTTCGCATCCTTAACCATATCCGAGTACTTCTCCGACCCCTCATACCATCCGCCCAATGATATCATTGTCGTTAGGTTTGGGTTCTTAGTCTTCAAATGAATGAACCTCTTGTAGGCCTCGAATCCCTGTCCATCTGAAATCAAATCGTATTAAAAAACCATTTAAATTAGATATCAAACAATTATTACCAATTTTGGTGTCGAGATAGGGATCAAATTGTTCAATCTTATACGTGGATTCATTGATTTTGGCGAAACCATAGTTAATATGAGTACACAAATCGTATTCAATGTCTTCGATCTCAAACCTCTCTTTTGTGTGATAGTGGGCCCAACTCCCGAAATAACAGACCACTCGGTGAGGGTTTTTCGTGTAGTCGTTGTGGTCTTTATTATTGTAATGAAAATATTTTAAAATATTGTTTGATATAAACTCTCAAATCAAAGTGATATACCTCTGGAGGCCCGGGTTCCCACCTGAACGGGGCTGGAGGTGATCCCCAACACTAATGTCAGCAGTAATAACACCGAAAGTTTTTCCATTATTTTGGACTAATTTAGAGCTCAACTCTTATACTCTAAATGAAACTTTTAGGAAATGCTAAATGTATTGAATCCTAGCATTTATTTATATAAGTTTTAATTTTTCAAGAGTTTGTACTTAATGCACATTTCATACCATTACCTCATTTTGCAAAATTCTTATTAAATTCAAAATTCTGTTTAAATATGATATCTGAAAGCGATTCTGAGAACTAATTCAGGATTTTGATATTATAAGACTTTGCCAAACAATTGGTTAGAACATTATGTACTGCTGTACCGTACCATTTTCAAATTATCAATTAAGATTTTCATTTCTAATCAGTTGTATATTTGTTCTTTACAATATTAATAGTATTTTGTATATAAGCTTTAGATAAGCATAGTGACGTTAGCTTTTTTAAATATTTATTATATTTAAATAATAATTTCACTCAAAAGTCAATTATTCATACAATATGCATAGGTTTCTAATTAAAATAATATTTATTAAATATTCACAAAAAATCTAACGTTACTATATTGTCTAAAGCTCATATTATATAATAATTAACTTGACAAAATACAATTATATTTAGTAATGCCCTTGTTCCGATGATAATCTAAATGATTATAAGTACTAACGAATAAAGGGTTCCCAGAATCGCATCCATTTAACGACCCACTGAAGGGCACAATTGTTTCAATATTCCGGTGCTATATAAACACTCAATTCATTTATTGAGGCACAGTATCAATTGATTCATTGGTATTGAATCAAACTTATATGAAGCAAGATTATATGAATAATACATTTGTCAAATCTTCATTAAATACGTGGTTGCAAACGCATGTTGCGACTACTCAAATATAATGTATGTATTTTCTATTAATAAGTTTTGAACCCTTTAGTAGTAACTAACCTACATATAAGTGAAAATAGTGATAATGTGGTGTACAGTATATTTGAGTGGTCGCAAGATGCGTATCCTATCATGTATTTAATGAAGATTTTACAAAAGTATTAATCATATTATCTTGCCTCATATATGTTAATATTTCAACTAAATTATATCAAATAGCAATGTTGCCGTTGTTATTATAGGATTTATATTATAAAACTAAAAGCCATTACTATAGATGTCAAAACTTGCCGTATTTTGGGTCTTTGGGTCAGGGTATGTAATACATACTATGTATTCATATATTTATTTTATAACTTAATATTAATATTTTAAATAATTCACAATATTTATTTGTGATAACTATAGTATTTAGTTTTATAAACAATTATTCATATAATATTATTTTATTAGAAAATAAGAAGTGAATGTAAAAACTTTTAAACATTTTGTCTTATAATTAAAAACTTTCACATTTACATATTACTTATTACTTATTTTGAATAATTTGAAAAGTTATTTAAATGTTTATTTAGGGGTATGGTTAAACTAAATATTAAGTATTTTATGCTAATATAATTTATATAATATTTTACTCTAAAATGTTCAGCATTGTTTCTGCTGTTGTGTTGTATACGGTAATCAAAACTGTACTCATCCTAATTTCAGCAATTAATTTCATGAAATAGATTTTCTCAGCTATTTTAAATAGCTTATTACTATTAAATCATAAACTATTACTTCAAAAATAGAAATATATTGTTAATACTGTAATTATAATTTATAGAAAAAGCATCAAGGTAATGAACATAAAATGATTGATTGACTTTTGAGTCAAATTATTCATTAATTAAATATAATAAATGTAAAATAGCTAACGTTACTATGGTTGTCTAAAACTCATATAATTAATTTTATGTTTAAGAAATAAGTTTGCAAATTAAGTCTAGCTTTGTACATTAGCTAAGTTAACTTAAATATTATGCAAAACATTGATAAATGTTACAATAACTTATAACTAATTTATTGAAAATACAGTAAATTACGTATATTATGATTTTCGTTTTATCTTAGTTGACAATTCGTATAGCATTTTATCAATTACAAAGAACCAAAATACGATATAACATGCTTAATTTTATATCAGCCATAATGATATCTGTTTAATTTTAATAAATTATAAGCAGTCTTATGTTTATAATAATCTAATTATAATTTATAAAAGCCATTCAAAACGAAGTGATTGTCAATCGATAAAGTTATTCAATTAAATCAAATTTGTTTTATATATTTCATAATTTATTTTAATGATAGAAATTGCATTCAATTATATATTACATAAACAAAAATATTTATCATTTGTTCAAATTAACATACATTAATAAAATTTAAAATACCTTGTTATGTTTAATAACAAAGTACTATGTACAAATTAGCTTTTTAAATCGTATTACAAACGTAAGAATAATGTGATAAACATTATGAAAATGACTTAATAGTCACCCGGGGGTGGTTTAGGCCAATCGCATCTCAATTCCTCCTGAACCCATACCTCTGTCTTCTCAGCACAAGTCCTCTCATGGATATACCACTCGTCACCAATTTTCTCGCACTGATAGTATTTATTGGGGTTACCAGGGTATGGCATGTATCCATAATTACTGCACATAAAATCTTTATGACTTGTGGTTGATCCAGTTGACGGCGTGGGGGGAGGTGTTGTGGTAGTTGTTGTAGTTGTAGTGGTAGTAGTGGTGGTGGTGGTAGTGGTAGGTGGTGTAGGGGTGGGCGCGAATTTGCACTCAAACGACTTGATCTCATCGCCATTCAACATACGGTGCATTTTGTTCATGAGGGGTGACTTCCCGCCCCCGCATTTGTTCAGGAAGTCGTCGTTCTCGAGGGCCCACACCATACCACCCGACAGTCCCATGGATTTCAAGTATGCGATCTATAATACAATTTAGGGTTAGTTTCTGTTTGATTGTCTCATATATTAATGAATGCATACTTTGCACGAAATACTCTCCACGTCTTCGTAACCAATGAATATCTCGTCGTTATAAGCATACGGCGCCCTATAGTACGGGTCATAAATGTTGTGCCATTGCGAGGGATCTTTGAGTTCCAGTTGACATAACTTATGGAAATAAATTGTTTTATAATTAATGTTTATATTCATTAAATATTATTTCTGAATGCATACCTCATTATATCCCAACACTCCGGCCTCACCACCAAGGAAACCCTCGGGTGACATTCCCTTTGCAATGTCGTGGAGGTTATGCTTATCTTTACTCATGAGAGTCCAACCCCTGCCATAGAAGGGCACTCCCATCACCATCTTCTCCTTCTTGAGTCCCAACGACAGGTAATAATTGACGGTAT